TCTTACGTGGAAGTTACATCATCGCCTACACCAATTCATTGCATTGTAACAATTACCAATACGTGATAGAGAACAAGCTTAGGCTAGAGATGGAACAATATATTTAATATGAATAAAAGACATAACGTAACATTTAGCAGGAGGGAGCACGCCTGCATGGTTGAGCCATGCCATAAGATTAACTCGTATTAATTCAATTTATTCTCCCCGCCTTCTCCATTCTTCTGTATTCCTCCGCGTTAAATGTTTAATGTCTATTTCTCATATTGTCTCGTGGTAGGTCCCAATGCCACTACACTACTCTCCCACCAGAATCAACGATATGTTGGTTCGATACCAAATTGTGTGGGATTGTCGCGCGCCGGACGTTAGCATGAATAATAAGAATCTTTTGAATATTGATGAACTGAAAGATAAATCAAAAAGAAGGCGGCAGCATCTGATCGGGAAACGCACGTAATAATTTTAAAGTGTATAGTTTAATGCCTAACACGCTTAAAATGAAAATCTGGGCGGAGATTATTTGAGCTAAACAAAGCGGGATTATAATTATAATGAAATGACTCCGTATAGGGATATTTTGTTAGGTCGCCCTAAGGTCCGTAGTAATAGCCGTAGGTTAATAACATTTCCTGTTTAGAAATATTAAAAACAATATTGTAGAAATGTTTAAACTGGTATTATATTTGATCCAAATTATGAAATCAAATAACGTATGTGCCGGTAAGTTGTCCATGCGTTGATTTCCAATTGCATCTGTATTAGTAGACTAATTGAAAGAACAAAAGTATAAGCGCGGAGAATTCCAACTAGTGTTCCAGTTAGTTTGATACGGTTTATTTAGATATGAGGAGATTTTCTCGACCTCATTTTTACTTGACCGTGATAGAATTTAGTAATACAACTAATGCATATGAATTGTTATCAAAAATTTTTAAATACGTGAAAAGTAATAATTATGTGGATTTTGGACAGATAGCTAAGGGTGATTCGTTAAACATGAGTGTATCCGTTAGATATATGCTGTAGACTGAATGTTCTGATTTGCCATAGACTATTTATTTATATTCATACCTATCGGCTGATGGCACATACAAGTTAGTTGCAAGTGCCAGTTTAGTATAAGACGGAATGCTGTTTCATTGAGACATAGTGATTATAAGTAATTGAAATCAGTTAAGCCTATGTGCCACCTTTCTAGGTGATGTGGTGCTGCAAGATGTGTTCGTCTAAATAAGTTTTTACAAGATGATTAACAGCGAGTGATGCTCATGTGATTACCAGGGAGAACATAAGTTATAACCAATAGGAGCACATTCCCAACTCATGTCTATGATAATCGCTTACAGTTTACTCAATGTTCGGGTAAATTCCACAGTGATATTTTCAGTTTGCAGGAGATTTGCTCGACTGCTTATACTGATTGTTTGCATGCATCGTTGTGTCGCTAAACCTACAATCAGACTGACAAGATTTTGAGATATTTACTGAATGAGCAACTGATAAACATACTGTAATCATCCGTAGTGAATGAAAAGAAAAACAACACTACTTAATGATAATTATAAGTCAATTTGCTGACCGATTTGTTAATAGTTTCGTCAATTTTATCAATCATATTACGTGATTGTCAAATCATGACAATGCTTTATGACGATATCCTGAAACCATTATGTCTAACTAATTATAGTGTTGATTGAGGATTTGCCGGTGGAAAAATAGGTATTGTTGCTTTAGGTGATTTGAAACTATCAGAAATTTGTAGCGTTGAAGAAACCGAGCCGCCTAATTATATTATAAATTTCAATTCAAGAATATACATCTAGTGTTAATTTTAGTAATAGTTTCCGGAGTTTTAATTTTAAATGTTTGTTTAGCCAACAACTACCTGATAGTTTAGCTATCATACTAAGGCAGTATGCTAGTACTCAAATTTGTAACTTTATTATCTAAACTATGTTTGTCTTTTTATGTTACTAATATGGTAGACCGATTGACAAACCCAAATACGTATAGCAAGAATGACTATGATGGGTTTGGTGAGAAATGCTAAAGGCGATTCAAATGACTTTCGAATTCAAAAGGCATGGAGATATAATGCAACGCATTTACAGGATAGTTTAACATGCAGGTTATTGATGTATATGACAATTTTAAAAATAGTGAACATTGCCGGAAAAATAATTTTAAAGTTAAGACTGCTTATGAAACTTCAGGCAGGATTATGATGAGTTATAACTCATCAGAATAAACAAATAGAAATTGATCGTTGGCTAAGTTCATATAACCCCAATCTATGTGTACAGAAGAAATTTGTAACTCCCCTATCCCTTCCATGGCCAGTTATAACTTAACTAACGATTAATTTTTATTTTTAATTTTTCTTTATTATTATTATTATTCTATCATTATGCTTATTTGCACATCCATTATTTGTTTGGAATTATCCGCCTCTTTCCGTTTGTATTCTTCACTATCTAATTATTTATACACTTCTTATAACGTAATGATTTTAATGTTTTGTGATGACTACTCCATTTACCTATGTTTGACCTACTATTTCCAATGTTTAACTGTTCATAAGACTTTTGTTATCGTATTTTATTATTCTTACCTACTATCCGTACACCTGTCTTCCTACTATGAACTTGTACTTTTATCTATTATGTGTGATGACTTATCCTATTTCATTGTAATTACTGGCCCAAATTGCCTTGATTGGTTCAACATTTTCGTATAAATATTACTGTATATTAGAGTAAAGCCTGATGATGATCTAATTGAAGACAATTGTTTGCTTTTATGTGTTGTTTTTATTTTCAAAATGGGAATCTTTAACATTCTGTTATACTAAGAGAAGAGGCTTTAATCTCATATTTGCTAAGCCGAGGCACGTTACCAGAAAACTGGAAGCTGGCTCACATTTTTCAAAGGATGTCGTCTCAAGATACCACTTCTCACTATACCCTCAAAATTCATGTAGTACCTGATATGCGACAATATACACGACTACTTGCTGTGCAAGTACTTCTTTCCGTCTTATAAGCGTGGTTTCAGAAAAGGTCAACCTGCCAACTGCGGTTGACAGATGGACAACCGTTCTTGATTGTAAGGGGAAGGTTGACGTCATATACCTTGACTTCTCAAAAGCTTTTGATAGGGTCGACCGCATATGTTTTGTCAATAATAATATATTCCTGCCAGGGCAAGTGCATGTCGTTTCTGCATGCATTATATACAAATAAGTTCAACCGATTATGTATCAAATCACCCTTAACTGATTGGCTCACTTCATATCTAAAAAACCGACATTTTAAGATACGGGTTAACTTCAATTTTTCTCAGGCTATGGAATGTCCTGGTTGGGTGCCCTAGGGCTCAGTACTAGGTCCTCTTCTATTCCTGACTTATACAAACGACCTTCTACAGATTTACCACTTTTCGCTAATGATGTGAAACTTTGGAGGAAAGCATGTGATCAAGAGGATAAACTGGAACTTCAGAAGGATCTGACTCAACTTCAAAGTTGGGCAGATGATAACGGACTTACCGTTAACACTTCGAAGTGTAAAGTAGTCCACCTGGGACACCTTGCAGACTACAGCTACAACTTAGGCGACTCCCCTCTAAAGGTATCCCAAGTTGAAAAAGATTTAGGAGTGCTGGTACCCAACAATTTGAAGTTTTATGCTAACTGTGACAAAAATACCTTTCAAGTGAACCTTGCACTTGTGACGTTGAAGCTCATTTTCGGCCAGTTCGACGGAAGAACTTTCTACATAGTCTTCAACAGTTTCATTCGTCCCTATTTAGACTACTGAAACATAGCATTCCCTTGGTGTCACTGTAATTTATGGACGACTTTTGAGAAACGCTAGACTAACCTTGAGAATGTTCACCTAATAACCAGGACCAAATGAGGGTTATAAACCTGTGTAAGGAATCATAATTTATAGCTGATAATTAAGGTTATAAATTAGATTTAAGGTTTTCATCACAAACTGACATCAGCTATAATGCCGAAACTCTTGAAGATGTCACAGGTATTCGGAGTTTGACAACGCTTTAACTAGTAACACCTTCTAATATGAATTGTACCCACCAAGTGAAATCAAAAGACAGAAACGAGGAGGTTCGGAGATATATTTGATAGGCAATCAATATATCGAGGATCGACTGATCTAATCTGGCTAGCGATTGCGGCGGATGTTGAGCATGGCGTTCCCATCTGTGATCTGGTGGGGATGCATGATCGAGAGCCTTCAGCTAGGTGAGTCCATTAAAACTAATATGGTCAGAAGAGCTATTGATTTTGGGGATTTATTTACTGCTACACTATACTTATCCAAAAAGATGAGTGAATTTTGTGCCAAAATCTGGGACCCGTTACCTTATACGTGATTGGTTCGTCCATAAATTATAGTCTTGATATTTCCCCGTCACTCCAATAGGATAAGGACACTCTAAAAAGTATCCGACGGCGAGCCACGAAATCATTTTGGTGACTCAAATTCAAGCCTTATGAAGAGCGCCCCGAGTCACTGAATCTTTACTCACTAGCGTACAGACGTCTTATAGGTGACCTTTCAGTAACTCACAGCATCCGTAACACTTCTGGGCAACCCTCTAAATACCTACCTATGCTTAGTTCGAACACAAATATCCAAAAACAGGAGACACAACTCAGCAGAACGGAATGTGGTTACATCTTCTACTCCTTAAGAGTAGTCAAATGCTGAAATTCGCTGCAGGCTGAGTTAATCCAAGCGACTTATTAGGAGTCCTTTAAGAGAAAACTTGACATATTCTTAAAAACTAAGGGTTTATTACTTTTTTCTTTTTCCTCTTTTATCGTTAATATACCTAAGTTACTACCTGCAGGCATCAGTGATCCACTGCTACTAGATACAGAAGGTCGTCAAACGAAAGCTTCTATTCCATTCAGAACCTTTTGAACAATTTGAATATATTTTGTCCTTGTAGTTTGGCGGTACTTGAAGATGTCGCGCCTGTTTTTCTATAATCAGATCAAAGAAGTGATTAATCGTTTGCCTCCTCATTATAAGAAAAGGTATTTACAGAATCAGTATGAGTTGGCCAATGAAAGAGTGTGCAATTCATCACCACTTAAACATGAAACAGGAATCGCGTATGTTGACTTATTTCTTTGTGCTCACCGTTTTATCTAGACTTCCTAGTTCATATTTTGATACTCCTATAAAAATTGTCTATCCTCCTGAGTCTCAGAAATGCCTATGGGGTGGTGAGGGTATTATTCAAGGCTACTGGGAGAAAAAAAACCAGAAGCTAAGGTTTGCCAAAAATTAGGCCTAATTTTTGAAAGATTTCCCAAGACATGGAGTCCTGTTCTCATGGAAAACGTATTTCACAGTGAGATTCTAGACTGTTGGATGGTTATAATAGTAACGGATAGTGCCCTGAGACAAATAGAGAAGGCTAGTGGATTTGATTTCTATATACTCTCGGTTTGTCCATGCATATAAATTATATTGTTTTCTTAGACTCCAGAATCAAAACTTAAAAGTAGGCTTGGGATGCATTTAAAAAGAAATATGTTGGTAACGCTCGCAAAGGCAAAGATGAATGGTACGATGAAAGAAAGCTGGGAAAAGTATTCTAAATTTATTATACCTGTGAGTCATACTTCACGTAGTATATATATTTATTTTTATTATGATCAGTCGTCAGACGAATTTTATTTATTTTATCTAAACACATAAAAATTGGTACAAGGGGGCACCAGATACATACGCGCCACACAATAATAATAAGAATGGGAAGAGATAGCGAATGTAAGGTGCGTGTCAGAAAAAAAGTATAATGACGACCACAAATTAGTGTATGGTAGTGAAATAGTAATAATAATGGGGGAAATAGAAATATACGACCAGATAGAATTCAGTTGAAGAAGTTACGGTCACTTTTTATGGTGAAGGTAAAATGTTACAGCAGGGTCGCCACTGGCTTCTATTCTGAGCCATATCTGATAACGTCACTAGCCACTGTGTTGCACCACCTCTAGGACCCCAACCAGGGTGTTGTAAAAGACGAACAGAAGCCAGTCCTGTGCAGATTCCTCTCATATCACGACACCATGCCACACAATGACGGGAAGCCAGTTTGGATGATGTACGTGGTTTCGTAAAGACTTTCAGTATTCGTATCCGGTGGAAGCATTCAACTTTCGACCAGACAGTGACTCCAGAACGTTTGGATATAACAGAGTTTCCACCATGAGTGAGCAGCTGTATAAGTTAAAAAAGGAGATGGATGAAGTGAGAATAGAGGTAGATAAGTGACAGTATATAAAAAAATTATATTAATAGTAATAATAAAGATGAGTGTTAGACGCAGGGTATTAGGGAATGATGGTAAATCAGTTGATGAGGTTGTGAATTTTCATCGACTGAGATGGTTGCGCCATGTGTTACATATGCCTGAACTCCGGTCAACACGACGCGCAGTGCTGACTAGTGTTGGGGATGGTTGGAAGAAAGTTAGGGGCGGCCAAACCAAAACGTGGCATCAGTCCTTGAAGTTACCAACTTCTGATTTAAACCATGTTGGTAGATACCGACTATTTGGTTGAGGTCTGCGTGAGTATCGTAACCAGTGGTTGTAGACTGAGGGAGACGGCTCAGAACGGATCACAATGGCGTAGGTGTATAGACTGTCTGTCTTTTAAACCGTGAGATTAAAATAGCTTTGCATCTTTTTTCTACGAATTAGTTATTTCTCCATGTATCACGTTATATATGCAGTCTTTTTATATATTACTACCATTGAAGTAACCGCTTCTATAAATTTGGTGTTGATCGTGTTGTGCTAATGAGGTGTGGCAACTGATGTATGTGTGTGTCCTTATTTATTTGAACACATAAATATTGGTACAAGGGGCACCAAATATATATGTGCCACACAAAACAATGATAATTTGAAGAGGAGAAAAAAAAGAGAGAGAACAATAATGGGGGAAACGGAAAGGTACAATCAGAGGAAATCTTACATTTAAGGAAGAAGCAACCACTTTTTACGAAAAAAGTAAAAGAAGGTTACAGCAGGATCGCCACTGGCTTCTATTCTGAGCCATATCTGATAACTTCTCTAGCCACTGTGTTACACCATCTCTCGGACCCCAGCCAGGGAGTCGCGAAGGACCAACAGAAGCTAGTCCTTTGCAGCTTTCTTTCATACCACGACACCATGTCATATACTGACCACCTCTCCGCTTTTCCCAACCAGTCCCAGAGTCGGCAAATAATGCACGACGAGGAATTCTCTGGGACGACATTCGTAGAACATGTCCAAGCTACCGAAGTCGGTGTTTCAAGATGGTGACACCAATTGGATTGTCGTCTTTGTGCCCGAACACACGATGCCGAACCTCCGCATTACTAACATGGTGTTGCCACTGGATATCAGCAATCCTTCGGTGACAACGATGATTGAACACAGAGAGTCGTCAAACACCCTCAGCTCGGAGAGGCCAGGTTTCACAAGCATAGAGCAAAACTGCTCTCACCGACGCGTTGTAGATCCGACCTTTTACAGCCAGACTAACATCATGAAGCCGCCAAAGATGGCCCAGATTGGCATAAGCCGCTCTGGCTTTCACTATACGTGCATTGATCTCATCACTCATGCCACCACCAGCACTTAAGCAGCTACCTAGATACACGAACTTCTCGACTACTTCTATCTGTTCACCATCCAGAGTGAGTACAGGATTAGAATCCTGCCATTCTTGTAGAAGTACTTTGCACTTCGAGGGTGCAAAGCACATACCATTGTTATTTTTATTATTATTATTATTTACCACGTGTGTGTCCTACGTTGTAGCTGACCGACTGACATAGATTAATAACACACTTATCATTTCTAGCATATCATCTTGAAATTGATGCTGACGGGCGTGCTGCCTTATTGATTAATTAATCCAGAGTAATATAGTTTATGATACAATTTCACTGGTAGTGCTTTATCCATTCTCGACTTTCGTCCAGATAGTAAAAATTTTGATCGTTAAATATTGTTCCTATATTTTACTTTCTTGTGTTTTTTTTATTGTACTGTGAAAGGGTTACACTCGAAATTAATGAAATCTACCATCAGACTATCTTATTTCGCATCTTAAAATATATAAAACACAACATTTGTGTATAAAAGAATAAGATTTATCATTCTTTCACTATTCGATTTTATTGTGGGTGGTTCACTCATCGAACAAAAATTATATTCATTGTTCAGTTAAAGTTGCTTTTCACACCAGACTTGAATCAGAGGAACCATTTAAATTCAGAGTGGGCATAACCCACGCCACAGAATCAAACTCAAAACCTCTAGAACTGGAAGTAAGAGTGATATCCTTACATCACTTATCGAAGTCCCAGTGATCCATACTTATAAATTCAGCCAATTTGTAGTATAGCATGATCATTGTTTACTGCATATTAATTTGTGTCTATTTCAATCAAATTTTACTATTGTGTACGTATTTCGACTTGTTTCTGTGATAACCATAATCTTAATACTTTTATGTAGTTGGAAGAAGCTGAGTGGATTGGTTTAACACTCGAAGAAGCTGTTAAAAAACAAATGAAAATGGAACATGAAACATCCAGAAGTCAGCTAAAGCCGCTAAAATTCAGTCTAGCAGAAAATTTGATTGGTAGTTTAAGAAGCCCTGTCAAAGATGAGAAAGGTTAGTGATAATTGTATCACCAAGCGTTGTATATTATGCAACGTTTTTTTTTCATAAATCAAGATTTCCTTGATCTTTATCGATGTAGTTTTATTATTTGAAAAATATAATATAAGCAACCAGTTAAGATGTCCCAAGCATTTTCCATCGTGAACTAACGCAAGTTATAGAACCTTCAAAAATGAAGTAACACTGGACATCTGCTTTGCCTTGATTTGAGACTCTTCATCAATTGTAGCAGTAATGCTAATTATAGTAATCAAAACACATGCAGTTGTTTATTGTTACTATAGTTTGTTGGGAAGACCACGAATATTATTATATTTTCGTGTATTTAAGGGTGAAGAGAATACATTAGATAGTTCAGCTTCTTACTTGCTTATGATACTGGCGGGTTTGGATACAAGTCTTTAATGGTCATAGTAGAAATCGAACCTTATTTATCTAGTTTATCCTCGATTACTTTCTACCATTCATCGTCTAACAATGTGTTACAATGTTGAATTACTTCGGTCAGTGGAACGAATTGTATATTTTAGTCCGCAGTTTTAGTGTATCCTCGATGAATAAAGTATCAAAACGTCAGTAGCAAATAACCTGTTTCTACAGATCTTACATCTTTTAATATAAATACGTTTGTAGGTATCATTACCAAGGTTTGATTTGATAATTTCGAATAAATTGAGGATTGGGTAGATTGTTATAAATAAATACAATATTTGTAATATCCCAATGAGTAGAAAAATTAGATTTTCTGACGTTTCGTGACTTAGTGTAAGTCACTTCTTCAGAGAATAAATAACCAAATTAAAACTAATCCAAGTTTAAATAATACAACGGAACAATAAGAATAATATGTGATCAGTCAAAAACAGGTCTGAACAAGTTAATGTCATGTCATTTCGGCCAAGGTGATTCCTAAGTGATATGTATGTCAACTCGTGTGTATGTATGTGTGTACAGTTTAAGGGTGAGAAATTGTGTGACATTTATGGTGAGAAAGGATAGAGCTTAATCTGTAAGATGATAGTGTGAATTGTAAATAAGATCAGACTGAATGGCTAGGATAGATAGTCCAAGTAGGATGTATGGTAAGGCCTTCTTTTCTACTGAGAGAAGTAGGATTAAGCATTATATGGAACGCTTCAACTACTCTCCTTTCTTCGTAATTGGAAAAGCCTTTTCGCAATATTTTGATATTTTTGAAATCAATTTGGTGGTCGTTGAAAATGGCATGAGCTGCTATTGCCGATTTACTTTGAAGTTTATCCAATTCTACGGGATTGTTAGGAGGTTTCTTTGTGTACCTAATATGTTGTTTGACTCTAGTCAAGATTTCTCGAGATGACTCTCCAATATAGAAGGCATCACAATCGATACAACCTAATTTGTAGACGCAGTTCTGTGTGGACATGAAAGGGATTTTTTCTTTTAAGCGAACTAAATTATTTCAAAGTATGTTCGTTGTTTTGTAATATACTTTAATTCTGTGTTGTTTTAAGATTCTTGGGAGTTCTTCTGTTGTGCCATGACGGTATGGTAAAACTGCAGTACCAATCCATGGCATTTCATTCGAATTATTATTATTATGACGCACTAAAACACCGCCTGTAGCTCTCTTAGAGTTACTTCCGCTCCCAAGTCCGGATAAAGGAGGAGGGTTGGGCATGGGGTAAGCGTTCCCATCCCGTAGAAAACTACCTCGCTAAAAAAAACGCTAACCAGAAAAAATAACTCAAACCATTTAAACTCTTCCCTGGGAGTTAGAAGGTCTTCATTTAGAAGAAATATGACGCCTCATGATGAAAGCCGAGTTCCTTCGGAAGCCATGAGGCCGATGCCTCTTCTGACAACCAGGACAACCATTTATTTAGGTACATGGAATGCTTGTACAATGTGGGAGACTGGGAGAGTCTTCCAAACTGCTGCAGAATTGAGGAGATACAACCTAGAGGTGCTTGGGATCAGTGAAACCCATTGGACCCCAGCTGGACAACAAAGGCTGAATACGGGAGAGATGATCCTATACTCCGGTCACGAAGAGAAAAATGCTCCACACACTCAGGGAGTTGCTCTAATGCTGTCTAAAGTAGCACTAAATGCACTTGTAGGACGGGAATCTCACGGATCCTGAATCATCAAAGCATCATTCAAAACAAAGAAGGAGGGAATCACAATGAACATTATTCAATGTTATACACACCAATGATAGCAACGACGACATTAAAGATCGATTCTATGAGAGGCTGCAATCAATCATAGAGAAGTTCCCAAGAAAGGACCTCACTATTCTGATGGGAGATCTAAACGCCAAAGTTGGAATAGACAACACTGCATATGAAGATATCATGGGACGACATGGACTGGGAGAGAGAAACAAAAACGGGGAAATATTTACAAATCTGTGTGCATTCAACAAATTGGTCATAGGCGGCGAGGAGAGGAGAGGAGCGGATATAGCTTCAGATCACCACCTAGTTGTGGCCAATTTAAAACTGAAGCTAAAGAAGAACTGGACAAACAGCACTACAAAGGTTCAATACAGCCTTCCTTCAAAATACTGACAAACTCAATGAATTCAAGATAGCTCTCAACAACAGGTTCCAAGCCTTACAGGATCTACTGAAGGAAGAAAAAACTACTATGGAGGACAACTGGAAAGGTATCAAAGAAGCATTAACTTCAGCGTGTCAAGAGGTTCTGGGCCCCAAGAAACATCATCACAAGGAATGTATTTCTACAGAAACACTGGACAGGATCTAAAAAACGAAGAACAAGAAGACAGCAATTAACAATAGTCGAACACGAGCAGAGAAAGTCCAAGCACAAGCTGAATACATAGAAGCAAACAAGAAAGTGAAGACGAGCTTTAGAGCCGACAAACAGAAATACGTGGAAGAACTCGCAACGATGGCGGAGAACGCTGCAAGAGAAGGAAATATGGGACAGCTTTACGATACAACGAAGAAACTAGCAGGGAAATATAGTAAAGCAGAGAGACCAGTCAAAGATAAAGAAGGGAGACCAATCACTGAGATTCAGCAACAGCGGAACAGATGGGCAGAGTACTTCGAGGAACTCCTGAATAGGCCGGCTCCAATGAATCCACCGGACATCGAAGCAGCACACACAGATCTCCCTATAGATGTCAATCCACCAACGACTGAAGAAATCAGAATGGCTATCAGACAAATCAAGAGCGGGAAAGCAGCAGGACCCGACAATATACCAGCTGAAGCACTGAAGTCAGACATCGAAGTTAATACAAGCATGCTTCATCTTCTATTCAAGAAGATTTGGGAGGAGGAACAAGTGCCGATAGACTGGAAGGAAGGACACCTCATCAAGATTCCGAAGAAAGGAGACCTGAGCAAGTGTGAAAATTACAGAGGCATTACACTACTGTCAATACCAGGAAAAGTCTTCAACAGAGTGTTACTGAACAGGATGAAAGACACAATAGACGCTCAACTTCGAGATCAACAAGCTGGATTCCGTAAAGACCGGTCGCGCACAGACTAAATTGCGACACTACGGATCATCGTCGAACAATCAATTGAGTGGAACTCGTCAGTCAGTCAGTAACAACGTGGAACTTCGTACGTACGTACATCAGTTTGAGTTGCCATACCACATTAGCACAGAGATTCAGTTATCGATTCAAATCCCATAGTGGTAGAGGTACTGAAAGTATAAGTAGAGATAGGGGACATTAAGGTTTGATGATGTTATTAAAGGAGTATAGTCCAGTGGAATAAATTGGGAAAGAAAATAAAGGACATGAAAAATTCAGAAGATTAGAGTTTGATAGAACACAAAGAGTGGATGCGCCTGCGCCATTGCAAACGATTTTGAGCCATGCCATTCAAGGTCTCTAACCATCGGTTGCTATCGTCTCGCGGTCCCCAACCAGGTAGTCTACACCTACCAACATGACTCAGTCCACTTGTCAGTGACTTCATGGATTTGTGCCATGTTTTGGTCTAGCCGCCCCTAGCTTTCTTCTAACCTACTCCTACACCAGAAAACATAGCACGTCGGGGCAGTCGGTGGTCGGGCATGAGCAACACATGTCCCAGCCATCTCAAATGATTGTGTTTCACTACTTCCTCAATTGATTTTCCATCCTTACCTAGTACCCGTTTCCCAACAACTGAGTTATTTGCTCGGTGGTCCCAGGATATACGAGCAATGTTTCGAAGACATCTATGGTCAAATACTAGTAACCTACGAATATCCTCTACTCTTATTGGCCATGTTTCACTGCCATAAAGTAGGACGGAACGAACTGCTGCGCAGTAAGCACGTCCTTTGGTTGATAGACGGATATCTCGCCTACGCCACAAATGACGCAAGTTGGCAAAAGCTAGTCGAGCCTTTTGTATCCGTGCTGAGATTTCGTCACACACCAAACCACAAGGGCTGATGAGACTTCCGAGATAAGTGAAGCGGTCGACACGCTCAACTATTTCACTCCCTATCACTAGTTCGGGTGTCGACGCAACCCAATCCTGAAGCAACATTTTGCATTTCGAGGGAGAAAATCGCATGCCGAACATGCTTGCATTGTCGCTTAGAGTGGTCAGCAGACTCTGCATTCTGTCAGCGTCTTCACTAAATAGAACTATGTCATCGGCACATTATAAGTCAACAAGTGGATCTCCCGGTAAAGGTTCAACTCCTGGAAATTTAGATGAGGAAAGTGTCATCTCTAAAAGGACCTCAACGACAAAGTTAAACAAGAATGGAGAGAGTGGACAGCCCTGACGAACACCACTTGAGGTAATCAATTCTGATGACAGTTCGCCATATGCTCTCACTCAACCAGTTTTGTTCGAGTAGAGAGCCTTTATAAGGTTGATGTATTTCTTTGGTACTCCCTTCAGTGACAAACACTGCCATAGAACCTTACGATCAACAGAGTCAAATGCCGCCTTAAGGTCGAGAAATACTACCATTGTGGGGCGTCTGAATGTGTGTCTATGTTCTAGGACCTGACG